CTTAAAAAAATATAACTCAATATACTTGCCATTGACTTTTTCTAGTGCCCACTTGCTCCTGAATTAAGAAACAGTTTAAAAGTGAAGGCTCTCATCAGTTCACTTCAAATATTTCAGAATTCCTACCAATTCAGAGGACAATGAAGTAAATCTCAATTCTAAGTTTGACTACAATACTACACCTGGGATTCATTTTGTATACATGCTGAACATGCTTAATTTTACTACTGGGAGTAATTCTATTATTCATCTAAATTCACTAAGCACACAGCAGCACTTCCAGGACCAGAGGGAAAACAGAGCAAATTACTTATGCCCAGGATCAAGAGAGTTAACTACCTGAAATTTTTTTCCACACATAAGTACATACAAGTAAGGAATAGTCATGGCAGAATCCATTTTGTCTTTTCTCAAGAATTTTAATTTTCTTTTCCATAAAATTAGAAGCCATGAGTACTTACAAGTTTCAGAATACACCAGAGTGCTAGAAAGTAAGTTACAGAAAAATAATGAACTAGTATTTTTTTTTTAACTTATCTAATGTTCTTTCATAGGCAAATCAAACATTCAGTGTTATTCCCTCTAAGGATATCAAACAAGCAAGCTTGATATCTGTCCACCTATAAGCAAGAATAAATGTGACAGTATTCACAGCTGAACTTGAGTTCACCATGCCTTAGTCTGACCTTGACTCAAAAGCTGCTTACAGCCTATAAGAAACCTACAGGGTCACAGGAATTAACTACATAATTCAACATCATTAGCTAGCATCACTATCCACTTTTGCCAATACAAAACAGTAAATACTAGTAGAGAGTGAAATGATTTCATGAGCTCAAGGAGGTCATTTTCTCTCCTGCTGTTTTTAGAAGGAAAAACAATTTAAAAAATACATTTTCTTTATTGTACAAAGGGCATAATTAAGCCAATTATTTTGCCAGATGATTCAATAGCTCACATTACAAAAAAAAAGTTTCAAATTGTACTCAATGAATTTTGGTAATTTTACTACAGCTTTTCCCCAAATTCAAAGGAATACCCCAGTCTCTGTTTCAATGGAGTTGTTCTTCAAGGTGCATAACAGTACTTCACCAATTTAGTTAAGAAAGCAAAAATCCAGTTCCAGTGATTTATTTCCCTAAGATTTTCCTAAAACGCATCATGAATTCTTTGCTATACTAGTCACTGGATTAGCACAATATCTCAGTCTAGATGGGATGTCTGAACTCTTCTGTAAGACAAACAGAAGACAGCTTTCAATACCATAATTCTAACTGCACTGTCAAATTAATGAATTTAATCAAAGAATATTTTAAAATCATTAGATTTTGATAATGCTTTAAAATGTACATCCCTTTATTTACATGCTCATCCTGAAACTTATTTCTTTTACACAAATTTTAAGCAACCCATATAAAAAGCTTATTAATTACTGTTTATGGCAAAGCTTTTTTTTATCTGAACATTTTTTAACTTCATGACTCAAACTAGAGTTTCGCCTATAAGCACCAAACTTCCTAATCGACTTACCAGACAAATCCATTACTCACAATCCCAACAGAACAGCCAAAGACTGAACACTAACAGAGAACAAACACCTAGCTCCTAGTGATGGTCACCCCTAGTTCAAGGCCAAGACCTGTAGTAGAACACTACAGGAAGTCTGCATTTACTTCTACTGCTTGCTCTTTACACACTCAGCTAACAGAACTCAAATGGCACGCTAGTTTGTTTTGGTTTTTTTTTTTCTTAATACAAAAAGAAGGAAATTGGAAAGGGAACTGGAAGCAATTCAGAAAGAACCACTCCATTCAAATAGCTAAGCATTCATTAGCACTGTCAAGTGTTTCGTTTGGGTTTTTTTATTTTTTTTAAATTAGAGCAGCAAAAGATATTTTCAACTCAAATAAGGTACTACAGCAACAACTGTTGCAGCTTCTCTGCTAGAGGAACTCACTGCAAAACAGTCTTTAAATAAGCACAAGCACATTGAAATGTATCAGCTAATTTCCTTCTCATTTAAATCCTGTTTAACACATACATGCTTTTTTTCATCTAAGGTGATGACTCCTTACAAACAACTTACATCTACTTACTGCAGCAAGCAATAACCTTTAGTACCTCTTTTTAAGCAGCTTCTTACAGTGCTACCAAAATTTTAAATCCCTATGTATTAAAACATGTATTTCAAGTACTATCCTCCATACTTAGATTTTTTAGATTTCTAATTTTTCAAATAGATAATTGTATTAAGGACAGACGATGCTTTTTAACCACAGTTTTACATTCATTAAGACTCACAGAGTTGCAATTAAAGATATTTTGCAATACACAAAAATACAAATTAAAACAAACCAAGAACTCTTACATACACAACCTTACCATTTATATACATCACTTACATCGCAAAAGATCCCTTTTCTAAAACTTAAATCAAAATACAAATGACCCATCATTTTTTTTCTGGTACCCACTAGTGAAATGCAGAAACCTGAAGAGGGAGAGCAACACCACCTAAGAGCAGCAACTAATAAAATCCCACAGAATGACCTCCTGCCCACAGAGGCAATAGCTCTGCACATCTTTCCAATGGAACACTTTTAGATCTCACTTGGCATTCCAACATTTCCCCTGGTGTTCCTGAAGACCACCTTCTTCCTAAATTAGCTTATTCATGCTAGATTAGGGGGAGGGAGGCAATCCATCTATTACCCATTTTCAAGTACTGTTAAACTTGTAAATGGGTTTGTGGTAAACAAATAGAGTCTACTGCAAGAAACAAATTCAAGTATCAGGTTTTTTTTAATAGAAAAGTCACTGCAGCATCCGAAGTGCCAGTGAAACCACCCCACATACACGGCTGCTTTCTAAAGCAATACAAGTTCATTTAATTATTGGTCAAAGATTTATCTCCTTAAGTAACATCTCTTACCAAGCTGTCTGATAGGTGTTCACCTCTAATCCTGTAACACAGCTCTGGACTATCCTGGCTTGAGATGGAGCTGTTGCCTGGTCTAGGACACAGGGCATGGTGTTTAACCTAAAACCACCAGCCTGTATTAGCCAACTGGAGTACAGCTGCGGTTTTTCTCTCATTCCCGCTTCCGAGGTGCGCTCGCAGCCACAGCGGTCACGTCCTGCTGAGCGCCTCTGCCCCAGGGGTGCCGGACAGCGGAACGCGGCGTCCCGAGCTGCCTCGACAGCGTTTACAAGTCTCACCCGTTTGAGCTACCGCGGCTAGGAAATCCCTCGGCTACTCCAGGCTAATTTCCACCGACAACAACAGCGGAGCTAGTCGCCTGAGCCACCACCGGCCGGACCCGTTTCCCTTTCCTTCACCGCGGGCCGCTGTTAGAGGTGCCGGTTACAGCGAGCCCAGCAGTCCAGCGGCCATTTGAAGCAGCCAGGATGGTCCCTCGAAGGCCGATTTCCAGACATCGCCCCGGGCCTGCCTCCCGCCCGCGGGTCTTCCTTCCCCGGCGGGACAGCGGCTGCCCCCCCCCCGCCAAAAAAAAAACCCGTTTGAAGAGGCTGCCCGTCCTTCGACGGCTCGGCCCGTCAGCCGGCACCTCGAGGCTTACGGCACAAGCCAGGTGAGGCGGGCCCGCAGCTGAGGGAGGAAGCGAACCCCCTTCCCCCGTCAGCGCCGCGCTTCTGCGGAGACGCAAATCCGCTCTTAATCTGTGAGCCCGAACGTCCTACAAGCCTTCACCTACGACCAGTACAAACAGCCTCAACATCCTCCCTAACGTGGATAAAAACCTGGGGAGGGAAAGGGGGCGACAGTAGAACCCCAGGGTGGGAGAGCAGGGGAGGGCCTAAATGGGGAGCAGAAAAATAAAAAACAGTTACTCACAATCATCTAAGTCATCCTGCAAATCCACAAAATACAAAGGGATCCCTACAAACAAAAACAGAAGAGAGACACCGGGGGGTTGGTTTCTGGAGGGCTACGGCGAGGACGGCGGCAGCCCCGGGTGAGCCG